AATTATAATAATAAGGAGAAATATGAAGGTGTATTTCAAGCTTGTTATGTAAATAAGTCATTTGGCTTTTTTCTTATCAACTAAGATTTGTTAGAAAATGTTTCCAACTTTAATTGACTGAATTTATCTGAAAAGTGATCTTATTAACACATGAATACTTAATGCATCACTTTTGACTTTTTTTTGGTGTAATACATGTATACATTTATATTTATGAATATAAGACCAGCACAAGTTTCATTTGTGGGCCATACTCCATTATACTTGTTGAATTTGCTGAGGGCCGATTCAAATGGTCCGCAGGCCGCATTTGGCCCCCGGGCCGTAGTTTGGACACCCCTGATTTAAACTAACAATCTTTGTTTTCAATGTGGAACAAATCTGCTCAGATCATCAGTGTTTTAATCAGGATTTAAAATGAATTCTGTTGATCTGATATCAGGACAGAGGACAGGTGTTTTAATTAACTAGCTGTAATCCTCGTGCTTCATTTAGGAAATGTTTTCCTCTACATTTCTTTATGATTTTAGCTGTGTTTTTGTGCATTTTAAGAGAAAACCTTAAAAAATGCTCTGATAGATATGAGCTCTGTGATTGGTCAGTGAGGGATGTGAGCTCTGTGATTGGTCCGTGAGTGATGTGATATCCCTCATTGGTCAGTGAGTTATGTGATTAGTCGATGAGTGATGTGAGCTCTGTGATTGGTCAGTGATGGATCTGAGCTCTGTAATTAGTCGGTGAGTGATGTGAGCTCTGTGATTGGTCGGTGAGTGATGTGAGCTCTGTGATTGGTTGCTGATAGATGTGAGCTCTGTGTGAGTGATGCAAGCTCTGTGATTGGTCAGTAAGTGATATGTGATATGTGCTCTGTGATTGGTCATTGATAGATGTGAGCTCTGTGATTTGTCGGTGAGTGATGTGAGATCTGTGATTGGTCATTGATAGATGTGAGCTCTGTGATTGGTCGCTGATAGATGGGAGCTCTGTGTGAGTGATGTAAGCCGTGTGATTTGTCGTAATGTGAGCTCTCTGATTGGCTGTCCCTCAGCGCTGGGCGGGCCCACAGAGGAGGAGCTTCTGGAGCTGTTGGACCAGTGTGACTTGGCGCTGACCCGAACACCTGACAGCACGCCCCGGGCCTCCACCTGCAGGTACAGTGACAACACACGCCATGTTTTAAAGGGACTGGAGTTTATCACACCTACACATTTTATACAGTATTTTTAAGAGGTGTTCTCATTCTTATATGGACATAAAGTAATGTATTTTGTACTTTTTTACATGTATACTGTCTCCGTTTTCAGTTAGAGAAATAAGAGCAGATATAGAAATAGTATTCAACTATTGGAAACACTGTTATTAAATTAAACATGTTTACAAGACATATAAATATACAAAAAAAGGAAATAACAATCTGACAAATTACCGTAAAAAACATGTATTTATAAATGTGTTCATCATAAATAAAAAATACAATACAAATATAATAAATGTCAATCAATCAATCAATCAATCAATCAATCAGTGTTTATTTATATAGCCCAATATCACAAATGTTACATCTGTCTCAGTGGACTTTACAGTTGTACAGAATATTAATACGACAATACGACACATGTAAAAAATATAGCAGTATATTTGATGAAATAGTTACTGATTTGCCGATTCCTCCAAATCTTTATAATGTTTTTTAACGTAGCTCCTGATGTATTATTAACCTCTTCCTGTCCCCGTAGCCTGTACTCTCAGATCGGAGACGTCCTCCGGATGGAGCGCCTCCTCTCTCCTTCAGCGGGGGGTCACAGAGGAGGCGCAGCTTCTGGTTCCTCTGCCTCTCTGTGCGGCAGTCTCCCTCGACAAGCCCCGCCCCCTGTGCCTCTCTGTAAACCCGCCCCTCGAGACTCCGCCTCCTCAGGAGCTCCACAACAACAACAACCACAACAACAGCCCCTCGCTATCCCCGCCTACAACTCCAGCCCACGGCCCCCCAGGCAGCGGGAGTGGGGGGGGTCGATGCGGCGAGGCAGTTTCGTGGAGCGTTGCCAGGAGTTGGCGAAAGGCTCCGAGGCGGCGGGGGTTTCTGGGTTTGGGCCAGAGGGCGGGAGGCGGAGCTTAGCCGTGTGCACAGAACTCGAGGCGAGGTTTGGCCTCAGGACGCCGACCACCTTCTCTGTGTCGCCCGGAGCACGAAACTCCCCAGGAACGCCAGGAACGCCTTCTTCATCGTCATTGTTGTCCTTGACGCCTTCCTCTTCATCACCTTCTTCTTCGCCGCATCGCAAGACCACGCCCACTCCGCCTACAAGCCCCGCCCCCCACCCCACTATGAGCCCAACCCGTTCCCAAGCGCCCGCCTCCCCAAGACGTGGCGATGAAATGTCTCCGGATGAAACACCGGCATCAACAGAGAGTTCTGACACCCCCCCTGCCAACGCCGGACCCCCCACCAGTCCCAAACCACACATGAATGAAACCAGCTTCTGATTGGCTGTCAGACTGATCCTTTGTTGCTATAGTTTAGGTCTAACTAATGTACTGGATGTCAGGAGGAGAAGAAACAGCAGGAAAACAGAACTATTTCAAACGGCGGAAAGTCTCCACTACAGCTGCCCTCATCATTAAAGAGCTGCTGGGATGTCGTATTCCTGTGTTGGACCCTGAAGGCAGCATCTCCCTGGTCCAATGGGATTCCTCCCTGTGGTTCTGGATTATTGCAGTAAATAATCTTTGTGTTAAACAAACGTTTATGATACTAACACGTCATATTAACATCACTTTAACATCAGCTTTTCATATTTTGTTTGTCAGCAAATCTTTTCTATCTGGGAGCTTTTTGTATCTATTAAAACACAAAAGCTAAAAAAGTTAGTTTTTTGTCCTGACTAAATTCACACTGATACTCAAAATCACGTAGTCTTCAGCCTGAGCCTGAACGCCTCACCGTCACAGCCAATCAGCTCTCAGCTTTTGTTCTCTAATTCACCATCAGTGCTGCCAAATTAATTTCTGATATCTAAAAAATTAAAATGTCTGTATAACTTTTTTTTACTCCATATTTTACTGATAATTTGCTGGAAATAACTTTGTTTTTGGGGAAATAATTATACTTTAAAGTAATATTGAAAACGTTATAATTGTATATTTGCTGAATTGTATTTTTCACATTTTGCGTGTTTGGGTTAGTGATTATTTATACCATCATTTTGTTGAAGCACCATTTTGTTGTATTTTCTATTTACGGCTTCATCGAAATGTTACTTTTTACTTCACTTCACACACTTTCTTTTTAAAAGAAAACATATTAATCTCATAAATGACATTATAACAGATTATACTACCCAGCAGTTGATAAAGTAATACAAAAAAGATCCGTAACAAGAATCAACACAATAACTCAGACATTACTGATTTAATCAAATATATATTGGCTTTTACTGAACACTTTAAACGTCACCTATTATGCAAAATCCACTTCTCCATGTCTCTTCTACACCATTGAGTTCTTTGTAACCAAATGTCTCTCAGAGGGGCGTGGGGAGGGGCTCCTTGTTTTCATCTAAAGTAACAGACAGAGAATCAGCACTTTGGAAACAGAGCTGAAACAGAGGGGATTATGGGTAATGCTGCAATGATCTGTTTGATGTTTCAGCCAATCAGAGACAGGCTCTGGATATATCTGAGACCTGTGAGATATTGATGAAGAAGAAGAAGAAAATAGGGGACCTTTAAGAAGAAGAATCGTTAGTTGCAGCTCCAACAAACACCCATCATTTGTAATGTTTCATCTGTCCTGGGAAAGGTTGTGAATATTTGTTTTTATTAATGTCATTAATTTTCACTGCTTATACAAAACATTCCACACTTAATTTACTTCTCCTTTTGGATTCCCATATTTCCTACGGCCTGTGAATGCAGCATCTGTGGCTCTTCATGTAAACTTTATGAAACGGCTCCTAGTGAATGTAGAGACACTGTAAGTATTTGCGTTTGATACGATGGATCGTTTGTATAACCGTGTTTTTTATAACCGACTTTGTATTAAAAACAATAAAATAATTGACTCATAAAACCTTTTAATCAACTAGTGACCAGCTATTCTTTAAACGTCTCTGAACAACAGGAAACTTTATGACCTTAAAACGTTTCAGAGACAAACAAGTTCACAGTTCATTTAAAAATATCTTTATATTAATAAAATATATTTTTTATTACAAAAATAAATGGTCCAGGTTTCTCAGCTCGTCATGTTTACATCTAAGACAACAACTATTTCTACTTTGATAAGTATACACATAGGTAGAAGTACTCAGATCTTGTACTTGAGTAAGAGTAGAAGTACTCAGATCTTGTACTTGAGTAAAAGTAGAAGTACTCAGGTCTTGTACTTGAGTAGAAGTACTCAGAACTTGTACTTGAGTAAAAGTAGAAGTACTCAGAACTTGTTCTTGAGTGAAAGTAGAAGTACTCAGATCTCGTACTTGAGTAAAAGTAGAAGTACTCAGATCTTGTACTTGAGTAAAAGTAGAAGTACTCAGAACTTGTACTTGAGTAGAAGTACTCAGATATTGTACTAGAGTAGAAGTACTCAGAACTTGTACTTGAGTAAAAGTAGAAGTACTCAGAACTTGTTCTTGAGTGAAAGTAGAAGTACTCAGATCTTGTACTTGAGTAAAAGTAGAAGTACTCAGAACTTGTTCTTGAGTAAAAGTAGAAGTACTCAGATCTTGTACTTGAGTAAAAGTAGAAGTACTCAGATCTTGTACTTGAGTAAAAGTAGAAGTACTCAGAACTTGTACTTGAGTAGAAGTACTCAGATATTGTACTAGAGTAGAAGTAGAAGTACTCAGAACTTGTACTTGAGTAAAAGTAGAAGTACTCAGAACTTGTACTTGAGTAAAAGTAGAAGTACTCAGAACTTGTACTTGAGTAAAAGTAAAAGTACTCAGAACTTGTACTTGAGTATAAGTATAAGTATATTTTTGCATAAAATTGTACTTGAGTAACAGGGAAGAATTAGGATAAACTAAAGCACTTTATTCTGTCCATTGGATCCTTGGTTGAGAAATGATACTTCAATTACATGCAATGATGAAGATGATGATGAAGGTGTCTACAGCATCATCTCCAGCAGCAGTCTGTGTAGCGGTACTCTTTGCTCCCGGTGTATCCTCAGCAGGTTCCTGACGGCCCGGTCAGCGGTCTGTCTGAGGAGGGGGAGGCTCATCAGCAGCCGGCCCCCCCGCGGCCCCCCCACCCTGGAGGCCTGGAGCTCCTGCAGTGCCCCCTGCAGGCCGTCCTGCAGCCGCTGCAGCGAGGAGGGGTCCAGAGGGTCCGCGTCTGAGAGGGGGGGGGGGGGACTTTAGTTATATACACAATATCAAATATACAGAATAGCATGGACGGAGATTTCAAGGCATATTTCCATATCGTTTAAAGGTCACCTATTATTTAAAATCCTCTTCTTCATGTCTCTTCTACATCAACATGTGTCCCCTCTTCTTCATGTCTCTTCTACATCAACATGTGTCCCCTCTTCTTCATGTCTCTTCTACATCAACATGTGTCCCCTCTTCTTCATGTCTCTTCTACATCAACATGTGTCCCCTCTTCTCCATGTCTCTTCTACATCAACATGTGTCCCCTCTTCTCCATGTCTCTTCTACATCAGCATGTGTCCCCTCTTCTTCATGTCTCTTCTACATCAACATGTGTCCCCTCTTCTTCATGTCTCTTCTACATCAACATGTGTCCCCTCTTCTCCATGTCTCTTCTACATCAACATGTGTCCCCCTCTTCTCCATGTCTCTTCTACATCAACATGTGTCCCCTCTTCTTCATGTCTCTTCCACATCAACATGTGTCCCCTCTTCTTCATGTCTCTTCTACATCAACATGTGTACCCTCTTCTTCATGTCTCTTCTACATCAACATGTGTCCCCTCTTCTTCATGTCTCTTCTACATCAACATGTGTCCCCTCTTCTTCCTGTCTCTTCTACATCAACATGTGTCCCCTCTTCTCCATGTCTCTTCTACATCAACATGTGTCCCCTCTTCTTCATGTCTCTTCTACATCAACATGTGTCCCCTCTTCTTCATGTCTCTTCTACATCAACATGTGTCCCCTCTTCTTCATGTCTCTTCTACATCAACATGTGTCCCCTCTGTGGAAAGAGACTGAAAGTTTCAGGAACGAAGATTCTCTCTCTGACGTGAAGAAGAGGGGACACATGTTGATGTAGAAGAGACATGGAGAAGAGGGGACACATGTTGATGTAGAGAGACATGAAGAAGAGGGGACACATGTTGATGTAGAGAGACATGAAGAAGAGGGGACACATGTTGATGTAGAAGAGACATGAAGAAGAGGGGACATGAAGAAGAGGGGACACATGTTGATGTAGAAGAGACATGAAGAAGAGGGGACACATGTTGATGTAGAAGAGACATGAAGAAGAGGATTTAGCATACTAGGTAACCTTTAAAGCTGCATATAAGGTACCCCCTGCCCCCCCCCCCCCCTATAGTCTGCTATATGCATCTCTCTATATTAAAGGCAGAAATGGGCTTCCACAGATTCCAGCTTTTCAAATAGTCCAATTTACTGACATGTTACTTTGAGTGTGTACTGATGGTAGACTAAACACTAAGTTAAAAGGTTTTGACTGCCCTTTAAGTTATTTTGTAGTTATGTTTAATATATTTGAGGTTAAGGTGTTTTATAACATTTTGTAGTAGGCTACAGTGTTTCAGGACCTGCATTTCAAAAAAAGAGTCTGTGTTAATCACAGGTCACTAGACGGTCAAGTGGGAAACCAAAGAAAGGTCAAGGTCAGCCTGTGGGTGTTTATATACACACACACTCACGCATGCATCCTCCTCTATTGTATGAAATATTGATATTCGGACATTTAATGGACTGAGAAAAAAAGACTAAGACACATCAGGCTGAACACACACACACACACACACACACACACACACACACACACACACACACACACACACACACACACACACACACACACACACACACACACACACACACACACACACACACACACACACACACACACACACACACACACACACACACACACACACACACACACACACACACACACACACACACACACACACACACACACACACACACACACACACACACACACACACACACACACACACACACACACACACACACAGCTAACAGTTTATAGATCCAGAACCGAGTCTATCAATAAACGTTATTGACCCGAGGCTCAGACAGTGGGAGACTGACCAGACTTCAGCTGGAAGTGTCCCAGCATGCACTGCTTCAACAGGAGTGTGCAATGCAGTGATATTGATCAGCTGTTAAAACACAGCATCAACAACAACTCTATTTAAAAAAGGGTTTCCTATTTTGAGCTAAATCCTTCCATTGTTGTCCAAAAATAAATCACTAGAGCATCAAATGAGGATTCATCCGCCGCTGAAAATAGTCCCGTACAAATGCAATGTTTCCTCCTTTTGTTTTAATACATCTAAACTGAGCAGCCAGTGCTTTAAGGAGGACATTGGATATATATTTAATGTAAAGATAATGTACTCTTTTAATTAAACTACAGACTGATTTTTGGTATGTAATGATGTTTGTCTTTAAACCAGAACGTTTTGTAAATAATTGTCGGATTACGGGCGACAAACAATGATTCATTTATATGAAAAAAATTATAAAATATGACGTTTTGTTGCACTTTTAATATGGAAATCCTCATGAGTAAAATCACAAGGCAACACATGCAAACTGTCATATTAATGCAGTAATAATACAGTATTTCACTCTGACGTGTAGCTCTGTAGCGGGTCGTGTGACATGGTAAAAATACACATGTAAAGTACCTCATATGCACTTAAATACACAAAAGAAACAAAAACTAAATCATAATTGTCCAAGTAATGAAATGAACTAGAAGGGGCACTTGGAGTGTACAGACCCCAGATATCGCATTGTTAACAACACTTTTAATTAATGCATGTATTAGATCAAACGTTTTTTTTATACACACTTTCATTACGTTTCATATGAATTGGGATCGTAGTATTTCCGTAATCCTGCCAACAAAGAACCGATATTTAAACCGTTTACACCAGAATTAGAAAACACCAAATGTCACTCCCCCCAAAAGTTATTGGGGCTAATCAATACTGCGCTGCTTCAGCTCCCAGCCTCTGATCAATATCAGAAACACTCCTCTGGATCAATACGCTCAGACCCCCTCCCCCCAAAACTTATCCTCTCTAATTTTAAATCAATATCAGTATTCATGTGTCTGTGTCAGGCTCAGGGGCACCGGGGGAGGGATGGCACGGATCACACCAGAAAGACTGAGAAAAAGGGTAGAAAAGTGTCAAAAGAACTATAATTTAACGGGAAGACTAGAGTTAGAGGAATGTGAGAATCTGGTGAGGGGTATTTCCAAATATCTGGAACAAACTCCCAGAAACCTGCCGGTCCGCTGCAACTCTGACGACTTCTAAATCCAGGCTGAAGACTTTTCTTTTTGCCGCTGCTTTTAAACATCTCACACCGAACTGTAACTGATATTCATGTTTTATTATCTTTGCTGATGTTTCTAATGTGTGTTTTATGCTCTTAATGTCTTTCATTTTTGTAAAGCACTTTGAATTGCCTTGTGTTGAAAAGTGCTGTATGAGGCCCCGTCCACACGGAGACGATATCAGTTATATCCGTTAAAGTTCTTATCGTAGAGAGCAGGGATCACCAACTACATTTGTCTCAGGGCCAAAATGATTCCTAGAGACGCTTTCGGGGGCCAGCGATTATTATTTTTATAGCCCTGAATTTTATAGTTGTTGACGGACGGACTGGGGGGGGGGGGGTGCTAGTGGAGCACGCTCATGTAATTTCAAGTCGCAGGAGCCTCGTAGCGGGGGCTATTGCGGAGCGCATAAAGCAGACTCTTCACGCTAACGAAGGATCACTTCTTCTTCAGAGCAGGGACGCAGTCTACTGTCCCGCAGCTGCTGCCTCTCTGTTGGACTCCGGTACTGCACATTACTCACGAGTCATTGTAAAAATAAATGGAGTGAGGGGCGAACGCACTAACCACTCCGCCAGCGCCACAGCGCGTGCCGGATGAGAATGTCTGGCGTGCCAGATTTGCCAGTTGATGGTCACTGCGATAGACGCTTCGTCCACACGAGGCCGAAACGGAGCCGCGGCTTCGCAGCCCGAAACCGATACACTTTGAAACCGGCTGCCAAAGTGGGTAAGTCTGGAGACGAAACGCTTGCGGCTCCGTGTGTACGCCCTATACGATCATTTCCTGAATCGATGACGCCATAGCCCCGCCTCTCCCCACCTCTCCTGCTCACCCAGCGTCATTGCTGATGCGTTTCGCCAACAACTACAACAATGGCGGATCAGAGCGTTGCGTTCATGCTCCAGACGATTGTAATAACAAATATTTGTAATTCCAATACAAGACTATGTTATTAAAAAAAAAGCTTAAATTAAAAAGGTTTGGAAATTGTAAGATATGCTATTGCAATTGCTAGAAAAATATATTTTCATGAAATTATTTCGTAATTAGAAGAAAACTTCTTCTAATTCTAAATAAAAATGGTGTACTTCATAGAAAGTTTCACGATTTATCAGAAAATATCTCGTATCATATATAAAATGTTGTGATTATGTGTGTGTGTGTGTTTGTGTGTGTCTATGTGTGTGTGTGTGTGTGTGTGTGTGTGTGTGTGTGTGTGTGTGTGTGTGTGTGTGTGTGTGTGTGTGTGTTGTGTGTGTGTGTGTGTGTGTACCAGTGTTAGCGAGGGCCATGGCCTTCAGCATCACCGCCTCCTCAGGGCTCATATTCATCGCCTGATATTTGGCGCTCAAGTGTCGCAGCGCCTCGTAGAGATCGGCCAATCCCGCGGCTCGACACTGAGCCTCGTCCAATCGCAGGTTCTCGGCGAACACAAGTTCCTCCCCCTGCGACCGCCAGGCCACGCCCACCAGCAGCGCCTCCATCCAACCGCTCTGCAGCAGCAGCATCTGGTCGACCAATGAGAGCGCGGCGAAACCTGAGAGACAGAACAGGTGAGTCTGGACGTAAAAAAAAAGTGGAAAATAAACAGAAATGTTGAGAAAAAGTGAAAAAGATGACAAGTCCGTAACCGTCGAAAAAAGTGGGAAAGAAGACATTAGAAAAAAGTTAAAAATAACGACAGTCGAAAAAAGAACGACAGTCAAATTAAGTAAAAAAACAGACCAAAAAAGGATGATCACGACATACTGTATTAACGTGTTGAAGTAATTAAAACGATCTTCTTCAGTGTGAAAGGTGACTGACCTGGGATCTGTTTGGCCCAGCCAATCAGGAGCAGCAGCTGGCGGTTCAGGAGGTCACAGAGGGTCAGCACGGTGCTCAGGCTGCTCTCATTGGTCGACTCGTCCTGAGTGGCGGACAGGGGGGCGGGTTCTGTCAGCAGCAGGTGGGAAATCACCTTGTTTCCTGATTTATAAAGGAACATGTGATCATTAATGAAACACGTTTTCTCCTATCATGCTTTGTTTAGGCATATATTAGAGTTCTCAGATATATCAAAATATGTCTATGATGTGTTTTGCTCAAAATACCAAACAGATCATGCATTTTAGACATCCCTCTTAAAAAAAGAGGGGGCGGAGCTAATGCCTGCAGAATTTCCCAGCAGATAGTCAGCAAATGCTGCTGTGATGAAACTCCATATCATGTTCCAAACCACATCAAGGATTCTCTCTGAGACAGGATGGAGCTCAAACTCTTTCTCTCTCTCAGGTTTACCACCAGGTGACTTCCTTTTGATTTCCTGCTTCTTCACACACACTCTCTCCAGTGCAGGTTAGCTCTGAGTGTTAGCATGCTAATGTAAACACAGACCATATTACGTCCAAAACATGTCTCATTGTCTCTGACAGCAACGTTTCTGATTGGCCCGTGGGTGTAAAGCCCGCCCACATTTCAGATATTACATCATATCGGACGCAGATCGGGATCAGCTCCGTTGTTCCCTCGTTTTAGTGCGGCGGAAAAGAGAGAGGGTTTTATTTCCTGACACTTTGTGAGTCTCCTGACACACCGGACACACACCGGGGACACACCGGACACACACCGGGACACACTGGGGGCACACCGGGGACACATAGTGATGTAGAGAAGACAAAGTGCATTTTGCATGATAGGAGACCTTTATAAACAGACGGACTCCATGTTGTGTGAACTCACGGCAGCTGGCAGGGGGGCTGATGGGGGCTCTGCAGTAAAAAGTGACTCCGCTCTCCGTCGGTCTTTTGTATTTCTGACGCCCTCCTCTCACTCTGTCCATCCGAACACCTGAAACACAGACCCGGGGGGGGTTACCTTTCAGCTTCATCAGCTTCCTCTACCTCCGCCTTTCCTCTCTCCACTGTTAAAGCTTTTCTACCGGACAGAAACACCACGATCTGAGTCTCTGCAGCCGAATGAAATATAGAATGACTACAAATCAGCTATAACTTTTCTTGGCGACAAAAAGTATCTCTCTTACGACGTTAGGTCTTTGCTGTAATTCCTTTTTTTTCTAGAATGTTTGCAAATTGTTTTGTCACTTTATGGTCAATGTGCATCTCTTATTGTCACTCCTCCTAACTCTTTGATTCCCTGAAGTCATGATGAATGTCTTTGAGGTCATTTTGAGTTGTATTTGTACAACTCAAAATGACCTAATTAGTCTTTTAATGCCTTTTTTTTGTATTTTGTCCTTTTCTGTCTCTTCGTAATCATGTTCTGTCTCTTCGTCGTTGTTTTCTGTCTCTTAGAAGTTGTTTTCTGTCTCTTAGAAGTTGTTTTCTGTCTCTTTATAGTAATTGAATGCCTCCTTTTAGTTGTTTCGTCTCTGCGAGCGTTGAAACTGAGCCCTCTCACTCCTATCAGACTCTTGAAGTCGCTGCAAAGGCTCATGGGAGCTGAACGTACCCTCCCTCATCATGCCGGCCTGCAGACACTTCTGGAAGCGGCACGCCTGACACGCCTTCCTGCGGCGCTTCGTGATCTCACACTCGCTCGCCACCGGGCAGCTGTACTCAATGTTACCTAGGCAACAACAAACAGGAAGTCAAACGACATCACATCCTCTCTCCGTGACACAGCTGACAACACAACGTTTTCATCATAACTTTAACAAGTGCACTGAAAAACTGAAATGTTGACTTCAGGTTCAACTTAATATTAACGCTTTAAACTAACCTAATACAGTTATGTGACATTTGTTGACATAATACATTTAATAAAAGTCAACTTTTCAGTTTTTTCCGTGTGTTTGAGGAGCTGGCCTTTACGAACAGATGTGAGGGTCTCGTCAACTATGAAAATATGAAAGGTTTTCATATTTCAAAATACCAATAGTTATACATGTGTGTGTTTGTTTTCTCATAGACTGGCTGCTTTAAGGCGACATTTGAGTACATTGAACCCGTCAGTTGTATTAAATGAAGCATGATCACATCCTGAGAAAATACATGCCTCTGCACAGGAAGTACATCACATGTTTCGGGTTCATCTTTTCATTTAGAGCAGGGGTGTCAAACTCAAGGCCCGGGGGCCAAATCCGGCCCGCGACTTCATTTTCTGTGTCCCCACAAGAGCTTGCAAAGAATATAATATGTTCATTATACGGTTACATGCTACTTGCATGTTGTCCATAAACTAAATGTCCCACAATACATCTCACATTTTACTTTTTTCTCAGAATTAGATTTTTTTTCTTCAAAATGTAATTTTTTCTTCAAAATGTCACTTGTTCTTGTTTTTCCAGAATATGGCTTTTCTTTTAAAATCATTTTGTGACATTCTCACTGAAGAGACTTGCAATTATTTGCCCTAGACTTCTGCTTTCTGTCGTAGTTAATCATGAAGTTATTACCCTATCCAATAATAATCCAATGCAGAGGCAATCATGTAATATAATACATTATTTTATATATATTAAATATTTATATATGTATTTTAGTATAGTCTTAAAGTTACAACCGGCCCTTTGAGTGCAACCATTATGCTGATGTGGCCCGTGATGAAATTGAGTTTGACCCCCCTGATTTAGAGGAACAGCTGGAGGTTAGGATTAGGATTGCAAAATTACGGGAATTTTGAAAGATGGAAACTTTCCATGGGAATAAACTGGGAATTTTCTAAATTGGAGGTTGGCTTTTCAAAGGGAACTTAAATATAGTTGGGGAAAGTATATTTTAGCATAATCTTGACTAAAACAAACAGATGGCATTCAAGTACACTTGAATATCCATGCTATAGCACACTGCTTACTGCATGGCTATAGAGACCACGCCCCCTACAGGCACTGTGCATTCCTCCATCACATGCACAGATGATTTCGAGAAGACTGGATCACACTATGGGACTTTGTGGTGGGAGGAGGGCTCTTTTCATTTAACATTTTGAATGGGACTTTGTGGGGATTTGTGGATGGGGGGTGCATTTCTGTTCATTTTTAATGAGTGGGGTTGGGGGGGTTGAGTAATATTGAACTCAACATTCCTGTTTTTGTTCTTCAATGAAACAAACAATTGTTCAATAAAATAATTAAAACTTGTTCTGTTCTAAATAAAACCATTTTTAAAATCTGTTGAAATGTCATGTTTTTTGTTTAATTTTGCATCGAATATTTCCAAAATTCCCAGCTTAACTTCCCATGGAAACTTTCCGGAAATGTGCCTCTTTGCTCGCATGCATGTGTTTATATATGTGTTTGTATATATATGTTTATATATACAGTCTATGGTTTAAACACACACACAGATTAAAGAATCAATCAGACACGACTAATCAATCACCAATCAATGGGTTTCTGTTGCTCTGGTCTGAGTCCTGCTGCAGCTGGTGTGTGTTCTCGCTGCTTCACACACTAATCAATGCACTATTGATATGGTATGTTATCCTTTTGGTACTTTCACTATATTTTGATGAGAATACTTTTCTACTTTCACTTGAGGAACATTTTGAATGCAGGACTTTTACTGAAATAGAGTATTCCTACACTCTGGTACTTCTACTTTTACTCAAGTACAAGATCTGAGTACTTCTACTTTTACTCAAGTACAAGATCTGAGTACTTCTACTTTTACTCAAGTACAAGATCAGAGTACTTCTCCTTTCCCCTCACCTTGCACGCTCCTCTTGAAGAAGGCCTTGCAGGCTTCACAGGATGCGACGCCGTAGTGGAACCCGGAGGCTCGGTCTCCACAGACCAGACAAAGCCTCCGAGGCCCCGGGGCCCCCTGAGGCAGGAAGTCCCCCCTCAGGATGGAGTCCACCTGTGAAGAGGAGGCCAATGCTCAACATCTGCACTTCTGCAAAAAGAATTAAGCTTAAAGGTCCCCTGTTCTACTGTTGTCATCAATATCTCACAGGTCTCAGATATATCCAGAGCCTGTCTCTGATTGGCTGAAACGCCAAACAGATCATTTCAGCATTACCCATAATCCCCTCTGTTTCAGCCCTGTTTCCAAAGTGCTGATTCTCTGTCTGTTACTTTAGATGAAAAGAAGGAGCCCCTCCCCACGCCCCTCTGAGAGACATTTGGTTACAAAGAACTCAATGGTGCTCTAGGAGGAGATTCAGGTGATAAGGGGGGGGGGGGGGTTACCTTGGTTGGTGATTGGCTAATGGTTACACAAGACAACACATCGTTATGACATCATAAAGTGGCCAAAATCTGATCAGCTCATTTTCAGACAGGTTTTTATAGAAATGGATCAAAAAGAGAGAGAATCTTTGTTCAGGATTTGGCGATGTGTCATCAGCACTCCGTTAGCATAGCATTAGCTTTCTTACCTGTTTCTTGATGACCGTAAAAGTAGTTTTTCTGCTTCTCTCATTTCGAGGCTTCGATTTTAGAAATTCTAAATGATCACTAAAACAAGTGATCATTTTGAATTTCCTTAAAGTCTTTTTAGTCATCAGTTTAAGCGTGTCTCTTTGGTTTTGAGTATTCTTGTGTCTCTTTGGTTTTGTGCTTCCTTGGTCGACCTTTTGATACTCAGTGACTCTTTGAGCTCCTTCTTGTTATTTTGAGTCTTTCTGTTGTCCTTTTATGTCGGCTTTAGTATGTCTGCGTAAGTTTTTCTGGCCCCTTAAACCTAATTTAGAGTCTCTTTAAGAGGGTTTGGAGGGTTTTTGTGCACCTGTTCGTCACTTTAAGTTTGTATTTGCATCTCTTGGTTGTTTTGAGTTTAAAACGATTCAAATGAAATAAAAAAGATCTTCACCTGTGCTGAAAACGAGTCCGTCTGCGACACTGAGAAACACACGGAGGCCTCGGACAACGCCAGGCCTCCGCTGCTGGAGGGGAACCCTGAAGCACAGCAGAACGAGGAGGAAGAGGAGGAGGAGGAAGAGGAGGAGGAGGCCCGGTGAGAGGGGCTGAGAGAGGGCATGGTGTCCAGGCGGAGAGAGGGGCTCTGGGGGGAGGAGAGGAGGAAGGAGGTTGGAGACGGAGCTTCATCAGTGAGGCAGAACGAGGAGGAAGAGGAGGAGGAAGAGCAGTCCATGAAGCTGAGGAGGAAGGGTGAGAGCAAACAGAGGATGGAGATGAAGAATCTCAAAATAAAATGCTTTTATTCTGAAAGTCCTCAAAATGTTGTGCACTTTCATTTAGCAATAAATGTTCATTCAAATGTTTTTCAGAATTGTAAAGTTGATTTTGAGATGTTTGTACTTTACTTTGACATTTTATTTTTGCTGTTCGTGATCACAACTCCCTCCTGGTTTTAATAAAGGGTAAACAAATCTATAAAACAAACATCTAAACACATATTTCTGTATTTCTGTACGTTTAAATAAAGTTTTCAAACAGACGGTTTCTCACCACTGTGTGCTGATGAAGCGACAGTCGTCCGTCAGACAGAAATCCTTCAGCTCCATCCTGATCCAGATCAGCAGAACAATTCAAATGGAAACTGCTTCAGCGGTGCGTTCAAGCACTCCGTAAAAAAGGGTTTAAGGTCCAATAAAAAAAAGCAGAAAATAGTCAAAACGTTCAAGAAAGATGAGCAGATTTTTTAAACTCTGAGCCTGCGTTTCCTGCAGAAAGAGTAAAAGATGGGGGGTTAAGAGGACACAGATAATGGACTGATGATCAGAGGTGTCTTCCCTGTCATTTATATGTCTCCACTGAGGGGGCGGGGCCTGGAGGATCAGCCAATCAGAGTGCAGCATCCCTTCTTCTTCTCCTATCATCTCTATTGATCTGACAGTGACAGATGTAGGCCGTGTGAAGCTGCTCCACCTGCACCATTCAACATGCTTTATTATTATTAATACAACAGATAATTAAATATCACACGTATAGACTGTTTGTGTGTTTAAGTTATAGAAAAATGAATGTATATTAAAAAAAAAGATTGTATTGATTATTTTCCATGTAGGAAGAAAACGCCTAAAAAAATAATAATACATAAAACAAGTAAAAGTAATAATAGTTTTTAAATGTAATACCACATTTTGACTTTTTAACAATATCTTTAATAACAAATTGCAATATGACTTGTGATAATGTTTTAGGACAAATTAATCTATGACTTTTTAAAATATGTTTTAATAACATACTATACGATGAATATTTCCACAACCTTTTGATTTCGTACTAAACTATGTTGGTCTGAACTACATTAGATTTTAAAGCTTTAATAACTTAGCAGTTTCTGATGAATAAAAAGCAATCTATAAAGTAATGTAACTTTTATCAGCGTCAGCAGGTGAGTTTTCAGAGAGTTATCCCCAAATATATGTGTGTGTGTGTGAGTGTGTGTGTGTGTGTGTGTGTGTGTGTGTGTGTGTGTGTGTGTGTGTGTTGTGTGTGTGTGTGTGTGTGTGTGTGTGGTGTGTGTGTGTGTGTGTGTGTGTGTGTGTGTGTGTGTGTGTGTGTGTGTGTGTGTGTGTGTGTGTGTGTGTGTGTGTGTGTGTGTGTGGGTGTTCATGTATTTCAGCCTGGTGTGTCTTAGTTTTGTATGTAAGCTGATATTCTGCTGGCTCACAGTTTCAGCCTCAGCACTGAGTGAACCCCTGTAATCCCATTAGTGCTGTCTGAGGCTGAAAGTGTGTGTGTGTGTGTGTGTGTGTGTGTGTGTGTGTGTGTGTGTGTGTGTGTGTGTGTTGGCCTACAATAAGGTGGCTTAGAGTCCTACATTTAAACGGTGCAGGCATTAAGGTTGTGCATCTACGTGGAGGATTAGCACGTTAGCATTCAATCTAAAAATGCTACGACATCGGAAACTGCTTTGTGAAATCTCCCAATAATAATAAGTAACATATATTTTAAAACGTATTTTCGCAAATCACTGCATGATTTATATCACACAAATCTGGTTAGCAAGATAGTTCAGATAAGATATTATATGGAGACAATGGCCCAATTCCAAACCGTCCCCTACACCCTAACCCCTAAACAATACCCCTCCGCCACGTTTAAGGTCTCCTATCATGCAAAATGCACTTTTTGAGGTCTTGTGTCCCCGGTGTGTCAGGAGACTCTCAAAGTGTCAGAAAATAAACCCCTCTCTCTTTTCCTCCGTACCCACATCTCTAAAAACGGGGGAACAACGGAGCTGATCCAGATTTGCTGCGTCATGACGACATTTCTCAAATGTGGGCGGGCTTTACCCCCATGGCCCAATCAGAAACGTTGCTGTCAGAGACAATGAGACGTGTTCTGGACGTCTGTGTTTACATTAGCATCGCTAACACTCAGAGCTAACCTGTACTGCACAGAGCACGTGTGAAGAAGCAGGAAGTCAAAAGGAAGTCACCTTGTGGTAAACCTGAGAGAGAGAAAGCGTTTGATCTCCATACTGTTTCAGAGAGAGTCCTTGATGTGGTTTGGAACATAATATGGCGTTTAATCACAGCAGCATTTGATAGAATTATCCTGCATGAGCTCTCTTGCACTTTAGTAACAGCTGAAATAGAGGGGTTTGAGGCTAGAATGATCTGTTTGGTATTTTGAGCAAAACACTTCAGAGACATGTTCTTAATATCTGAAACCTATAATATATGCTTATAAATAGTACAATAGGAAACCTTTAAGTGCAGTTCCAAACCAACAAGGGTGGAGGGGGAGTGTTTTATCAAGCCCTCCAACAGAGAGTCTGCATCACCTGACTTCACCTGCTGCTCCACCTGACCGACCAACGTGTCCGTCAGGAAACACGCTGCTCACAAACAGTTCCAACATTTACTGATAAACTGAACAACAAAAAATAAGAAGCTTATAAACATCAGGTTTTAAACTAAAAGGGGTTTACAAAAAATAAACACAATTCAAGATCTTTTGAGTTTCTGTTTTTTTTTATCCAAGAGATGCTGATTTGAAACCGTTGTTACGGTATTTCCTGTTTCATCCGGAGAGAGGGGAGTTTGTTCCAAAGCTTGCCGCTTAATGTACACCCTCCGTCTGAAAGGAGCAAGCCTCGTTCAGCTGTGAGTGTGACTTCAGACGGAGGGGGAGTTGGTGTGATTTGGAATTGGGCCTCCATTTACTTCATCACTGATTCAAAGGGTGGGCTTATACATTTAAGCAGGCACGTGCACTCATAGACACCAAAGTGGGCTTGAGCCCATGCCCTTTTTCTTCCTCCAGAGAAAGTGCCCTTTTTTCCACTTTTTTATTTTTTAAATAAATGAATATATATCTACTGCTGTTTGCGCACAGTTTTCCTTTCCAAAAATATATTGATTGAATACAAAATAAAGATATCAGGTCGGGACTGTGAAGTTCCGTAGCTCTCCCTCCCTCCACGTCTCCTGCACAGCGTGCGGACATCTGCAGTCACTTCAGACAGACAGGTAGCACCTCCCACCTTACAGTCCCTTCAGACCAGTGCTTGAATTGGAATAAAAAAGGTGCCAGTACTCTAAATCAGCAACTGTTTCAAGTCAATTTATTTATACAGCCCAAAAACAAGTATTTGGCTCAAAGTCATAGTATATCCTATAATGCTGGTGGGTTTGTCTCTTTAGTATATTTTAGAAAGGCTCACTGTACTTAAACCAAATGACTCAGGGTGCATCTGATTAGAGGGGGTGCAGTGGTAAAGTGCTATTTTTATAAGTGGGGAGTGGACCTGACACCCTCTAGGGGGGTCCGGGGGCATGTTCCCCCGGGAAGATTTTTTTTTAAATATTGAAGTTAAAAGCATCAATCTGGCACACTTTGAGAGCAAAATGAAGAGATCTATGGATACCTCTCTCAACGTCATCCATATGAAACAGAACTGTAAACAGATTTTATTTTTCTTTATGGATATTTTACAAATCACTCCTCTTTTAAACTCTATTCTTGTTTTACTGTCATATAGTATTTCATTTTTAGTGAGTTACTCAGATGAATACCAGGAGACAGCGTTTGGTACTCTGGTACAGTTGTGGTGAAGGCATCTGAGTCAGATGTATTTGAACCGAAATGTCTAGAGGCAGAAGATGGCATCTTTTTTACAGGAAATTAAGGGCGGGCATGTACCTAGAGTGGAATCATGTCTGTAGCCATACAGATAGAATCGAATTCGACTATCAGGGTAATAGAGAAGTTAATGCGCTTGCTCAAAGTAGGGATGCATATCGTTGACTTTTTTACGATACCGATACCACTGAACGATACCGATACTCAACCGATACATATCGTGATACTTTGAAAATGTATCATCCCACAATTACTCCCATGAAGCGCTTTACGATATAGTTAACATGTCAAATGAATAATAAATTCAATTGTGGGACTTCTTGGACCTTTTAGTACTGAACAAACAATGAAAAATACATTAAAAATATGAAGAAAACCGATGGAATATATCTTTTATAACACCCGCCATCAGGTGTGCCGCGTGAATAGCACATCTTGTCAATGCAAACAGACCGTTATAGCACCGTTATAATTAATGTTAAACCTGAGATTCGACTAGAGAACAAATACATAATAGAATAAAGGTCATGAAATCTCGGCATTGCAATTATGCAATCTAATTTATAACACCCGCCATCACGGGCCACGGACTAACTTTAACATTTTATTTTTTTTTTTTAAAGTATCGAAACCGGATCTGATTTCGGTACGGTATACTGTAGCCACCAGTAACCGGTATTTCGGTAATACCGGATACCAGTATGCATCCCTAGCTCAAAGAAGGGGACGAGTTAACCACCTGACTGCCATATTCCCTAGAATATGGAAAAAGGGTGGAAGCATTCACGTACCCCCTGAAGAAGCTCCTAAGGTTGTGCGTGAATTACACAGCAGTTTAGGCCATGTGGGCCTAGTTCGGATGAGAAAATATTGTCTCAACAATAAAATCCTCATACCGAAACTGCGATTGCACCTACAACACACACGATCAATATGTCTTCAATGTGTAGAGGTGGATGGGTTTAAGAAAGTTCATCCTGAACATCTTAAAATAATAGAGGAAGAACCACTAATCAGTTTTAGGGCTGACATAGCAGGTCCTTTTCTGACCCGCACTCCCAGTGGGAATAAGTATTTCCTTGTGACCTTTGATAATGGAGGGAGTCATAAACATGTCTATCCTCTGACCAGAGTAACTGGAACACAGTGTCTGCTGAAATGGCGGAACATATAAGTATTTGTTCCTAAAATGGAGAGAATAAGAATGGGTAATGCGACTCACTTTAAAAATGAGAAAGTTTTGTCACTCTTGCAGGATAAAGGGAATCACACCTATCTGGTCTTTACCGTATAAGTATCAGGCGTTAGAGCAGCCAAAGAGTGGAGTATGAAAACTGTAAAACAAATTGGGACATTCCAATCAATTTGACAAGGCTGAATATATTCCTATGTATGGAAAAGCTACCTATAGGGCAAGGGTCAGGTCATATCTAACTATCACACCTTTTCCGTTTAAGTTCAGAAATCG